AGACTAGTGATTTTGGGTGTTCCACTTGAGATGCTTTAAATGGGTCTAATTTTCAAAGGCAGGTGCTCACTATTATCTGAAGATTTCTCCAAGATATTCAAGTTGGGCATCTCAAAACCGGAAGCACTCACAGTCACTAGTTCCCTCAGGCCCTTTGTGATTCAGAAAACTAGCACAGGAATGGCCCTTTAATTTTTTTTTCCAAGGATATTTTATAAGGTCATATGAAAATGCATGGTACCAAAAAGTATTGCTGGAAAGAAGTCAGTAAGCAACGAACTAATTAAAAAGGAAAACAATTGATAGTGCGTGTTCATAAATCCCACTGAACAAGCTTATCAGTAGAACTCCTTTCTCTAGGGTCAGATAACAATGTGGCCTATTGTGTTCTTTCTAGATGTATTTTAATCTTTGCTAGCAGATTAAAGCCTGTCTTGCATCACATTTGTTTGGAAGATCTACAAAGTTCTTTCATTTCCCCAAGGAAACCTGTTTTCCTTTCACATTATCCTTAACACAAAAGGATCTCCTTAAAGAGAGATCCTCAGAACTGGTGAGAGATTTGAGGTGAAGCTTAGACCCACCCAGTAACTCTGGGTTTGATTCTGTATCTCTTTCTCTCCCAGAGTAGTACCATTTACCCTTCAATAGCCTTCCTTGTCAAGCCTGCCCCCAGAACCACCCTGCTTTGCCAATATTCCCAGCCTTCTTCCATTGGTCAGTTTCTCACATAACCTCCTCCATACCTGTTCCTGTGCTGCCCCCTACTAATGGCCCAAACTCCATGAGCAAATCTTCAAGGCTCCTACCTTGCCCACAGTTGCGTTGTATCTAAATTGTCTGCTGTTGATCCCCTTTCCCTCATTAGTTGCCCATGATGGTGAGCTCCATGGAGCAGGGACCATCCTCCTCAAATATTTGGAAATGGCCTGCACATTATGGGCACTACTGGTAACAATCAACCATACTACCTAGAGGCAGACTTGCAACCCTGGGCTTTATGCTTTCAGTTGATATTCTACTTTCCAAACCACTAAAGGATTTGGTGTCACTGAAATACTTCTTCCCTGAGCCAAGCCCATTTGCTCTTTTGGATCAAATACTTTGTTCTGACTGCAGTGAGTTGACCTGTTGATTGTTTATGCCCAATAGGGCACACACTAATCAGAGGGAGGCTCTCTTTTAAAGGTGCAGAAAACAGCTGTGAAGCACTATACCTGACCTGCCAGATGCTGCAAGACTCAGTTTGTCTGATTCAAGACCTATTGATGTCTAATCCAGGGATGGATTTGTTGACCCCTGCAATCTCTAAAGAGCTTTAAGGTCTTGCCCTGGGCTGGGATTCTGCAAAAGGGAAAGAAAAAGGTAAAAATCATATTCACAAACATTTTACCTTGTGAATTTAAGAACTGGATTGATTGTTATGGGCCTTCTCCAAACCTTGTTCCTGAATGTTCTCCCCCATCCTTTAGCTGGCAGACTCATCCCTGAAAGGCAGTTCTGTCTGAAAAAAGGAGCCTCTCTAGAATGTGTTATTGAGATCTTAAATTCCTTCTGTACAAAGCTCTCACATTCTTAAGGGTTGACATTTGTTACTGTTTGTCGTGCCACGTTGGAGAGGTGGGTTTGAGGCTTCATCCCGGTCATATGGAGCAAGAACTTTTTGTGGAAGAGATCTTCCGCAAAAACATCTTGCGCAAGAGAGCGTCCACACTGCATGGATGCTCTCTCAAAAGAAAGTGCTGATTGCTATCCACAGAATGGCCCTCAGCACACCTGTGCTTTTTCCTCTTTTTGTGCAAAAAAAACCCGTTGCCCGTCCATACACACCTTTTTGTGCAAAAACTCTTATGCAAAAAGGAGTTATTCCTCATAGAAGGAGGAATACCTACGCCGAAAAACCCCCTCTGTTCTTCTGTTTTACTTGCACAAAAACACGCTTGAGGTATGGACGCTCTGCGAGTTTTTGCGCAAAAATGGTTGGTTTTGCGCAAAAACTCTGCTGTGTAGACCTCGCCTGAGTGTAAAGTTGAATAACCCCCTATTGCTCACCAGTGCCCTTTGGAGGCAATTAAATAGAAACTTTTATGGGGATCCATCCAGTGGGCAAGCACGCTGAAGCAGTCAGCCTTCCCAAGAAGTGTGGAAGAATGTAAAGATGGTAGATTCTTAGGGGCAAAGGAAAATATCAATAAATGGTGGGATCCATCCAAGAGAAAACAGGGAGAATTTGAAAAAAAAAATCAGACAAATGATAAAAAGGAACACAAGTTGACAATTCCTGATAGTAACTGTGGAGCTAGTTGTATTGTCCCCCCAGGATGAGCTCAGAGAACCTCCTGCTCCCAGCTGGGAGGGTGACAATGCAGTGCAACGTGAGTTGCTGGCATATGCCCAGCAAGTGAGTGCACTGCTGCCTGCACGGTACTGCCAGCCTTACCAGCTGGAGAGCAAAGGACAAGGTCAGGATCTGAACTCACATGGCTGTAGCTTGAAGTCTTGGCCAGCCCTGGTCCATGTGATGAATACATCCTTCAAAAACTGCACCACACACTAATAAAACTCTGAGAAGCTATTGGTAATTCCTTAATCTCCACTGGCCCTTTCTGGGGGAAAGGGGGTAGGGAAGGTTACTAAGGTAAAGAATTTGAGGTCTTTAGGACACATGACATGACTTCTCCTTTCCATCAGTCACTGAAATACAAACCATCCTGCTGCACTGAAGTATGTAAAGCTCCTGTATTGGAAAAAGGGCCCTGGAACCGGTCACCCCTTTGTCACACACTGGGAATCCAGCTGTACTGACAGTGACTAAGTACTCATCCTATGATGCACAGTTGTAGGCATAAGGAAAATGAGGTACGTCTCAATTGTATTTGTACCAAACAGGGTTCACATTGCAAAAGCTACTGTCATGGTTGCATTAACTGGCCTCCTTTTCAGATGCCTTAGCAGAGAGGCCGAGGACTGGGCACTGTGATTCAGCTGGACTCAGGAAATCTGGCTTTCCACAGACATGACTGGCTTGCCTCTTTAGACTGTCAGCAAGGTCTCTTGCCCTGTATTTGTACCGCACCTAGCATCATAGGCCACTCTGCTCAGCCGGGGGTCTCTATTGTAACACAACCAAACCACAGCGTAACAGAGCTATGGACACTCAGCTGCCCTCTCATGCTCCTCCTTAGGAGTGAAGCATTTTGGCAGGAGGAGAAGGAGAGGGAAACTTACAGTGCTGCAGCCTATGAATAGAGAGCTTTATTCTCCAGGGCAATCCAGCTAGCACTGAATTCATATAAAAAAGAAAGAAAGGAACTAGCCAAGGTACATACATGTTATCGTAGTCAGAGAAATATTATTGCCCAGCTAGTCCCCAGCGTTTGCTGGAACTCACTTAGATCAAAGAATTTAGGTAAGCATAGTACATGCCAAACTGAGCTACTCCCCCACTCCCTGTTAAATATTACCTATTGTCCCAATTCAACCCCCTGTTGGACCTAGTTCTGCCTTTAAGGCACCAAGTACAAAAAGCTAGTGAGAGTAACCTGGGCAAGAACCATGCATGGAGTCAGCATTACATTCAGCTCAGTGTCCTTCTGGTGGGGTTGCCTCTTTCATCCATATCTCCCTGGGTACGTCTACACTACAGCGCTAGTTCGAACTAACTTAGTTCGAATTAGTTAATTCGAACTAAGCTAGTTCGAACTAACGCATCTAGAACTAAAAACTAGTTCGAACTAGCGTTTTGCTAGTTCGAACTAGTAAGTCCACATTGAGTGGACTCTGAACAGGGCTTAAGGATGGCCGGAAGCAGTGCCGGCAGGGCATAAAAGGAGGACTTAGAGCATGGAGATACTGTCTCAGGCTAGCCGAGGGCTGCGCTTAAAGGGTCCCGACCCCCACCCCGGACACACAGTTCTAAGGGGTGCCCCGCTTGCAAAGAAGTTCTGGCTTGGAGTGCCCTGAGTGCCCACACTGGGCACATCACACCACTCGGCCATCAGCCCGGCTGCACTTGCCGCAGGCTGCCATCTGGGGAGAGGGAGTAATTGGGGGGCTGCAGGAGAGCTCCCACCCCCAGAAGCCCGCAGAGCCAGCCCAGTCCTCCCCATCGGGGGCTCGTACCCCATTCCTCCCTCACCTCCTTCCACTTACCCTTCCCTAGCCCCCCTTCTTATTGATGTACAAAATAAAGATAACGTTTCTTCCAACATTGACTCTGTCTTTATTGAAAAAAACTGGGGGAGACTGGGAAAAGGAGGTGGGAGAGGGGAAGAGAAAGGCTGGGAGAGGGGAGGGCAACTAACATGATCAGGGGTTGGGAACAGGTCCCAGATGAAGAGAGGCTACAGAGACTGGGACTGTTCAGCTTAGAAAAGAGGAGACGGAGGGGGGACAGGATAGAGGTCTCTAAAAGCAGGGGTTGGGTGGAGAGGGTGCATTCAGAAAAGTTCTTCCTGAGTTCCCATAAAGAAGGACTAGAGGACACCAAAGGAAAGGAATGGGTAGCAGGCTTGAAACTAGTAAGAGAAAGTTGTTCTTGACAAAGCAAATAGTTAACCTGTGGAACTCCTTGCTGCAGGAGGCTGTGAAGGCTACAACTAGAACAGAGTTTAAAGGGAAGTGAGATCAAGTCATGGAGGTTGGGTCCATGGAGTCCTATTAGCCAGAGGGTAGGAGTGGTGTCCCTGCCCAAAGTTTGTGGAAGGCTGGAGAGGGATGGCACGAGACAAATGGCTTGATCACTGTCTTCGGTCCATCCCCTCCAGGGTCCCTAGGGTTGGCCGCTGTTGGCAGACAGGCTACTGGGCTAGATGGACCTTTGGTCGGTGCCAATCTCACCTAGTTAGGGAATCATCTGCTTTTCATTTCAAACATCCTCACTAATGTGTCTGTTCCACCCCTGCACTTCAGCAGGCTAAGAGAGGTGCCCAAGGCCCTAGGCTGACAGGTTCAGGCTGTTTTTCCTGAAAAAAGTTAGGTAGATTTAGTCTTTTGCTTACCCTGTGTCCTTTGGGACATCATGGAGCCTGTGTGTGGTGCTGAAGCTTCTCTCTGGCTGCAGGCTGGCAGATGCCTGACTGTTCTCAGCTACTCCGAGGGACTGAAAGGATTGAACTTTGCCCAAATTAAGTCCATTTAGCAAGGGGCGGATAAGTCGTGGGGCACACCGGGCCATCATGTTGGTGAAGTCTTGCTTTAGGTTTCCTCGTTCTTTTTTGTTGCAGGGCTGGCTAGCTTCTGAGGTATAAGTACAGTGGAGAGAGAAAAAAAATCTAGGACAGCCTCCAGGGAGAAGGGGAGGGGGAAAGGGATGTGTCCTGGGCATTACTACAGCACAACCTACTGGTAGAGGTTTGCTGCTGTAAGCTGTAGTAATGTACAAGCCCTGAGCAGGTTAGGCATTGGAAAGAATAGTGAAGTGTGATCAGCTGGGGTCCTGTTTCAATTCTATCAATCAAACAAAGCCATTCTCAGAAGCATTTTCAATACAATGCCCAGCTACGGTATGTATGTCTGACCTGTTGGTTGCAGCAGTAGACTGGGACTTGAGCTCTATTGCTGCCTCATTGAGTGTGTCTCCTCTAACACTTAGGCTACGTCTAGACTGGCATGATTTTCCGCAAATGCTTTTAACTGAAAAGTTTTTCCTTTAAAAGAATTTGCAGAAAAGAGTGTCTAGAGTGGCACAGACGCTTTTCTGCAAAAGCACTTTTTCCAGAAAAGCATCCGTGCCAATCTAGACACAGTTTTACGCAAGAAAGCCCCGATCACCATTTTTGCCATCAGGGCTTTTTTGCGCAAAACAGTTTTTAGCTGTCTACACTGGCCCTCTTGCGCAAAAACATTTCCAGAAAAGGGCTTTTGCTCGAACGGGAATGTCAAAGCATTTGCGCAAGAAGCACTGATTTCGGACAGTAGAACATCAGTGCTTTGGCGCAAAATCAAGCGGCCAGTGTAGACAGCTGGCAAGTTTTTGCGCAAAAGCAACTGCTTTTGCAGAAAAACTTGCCGATCTAGACAGCCTTAGAGTAATGAGCAAGGACTCCTGGCTTCTATTCCCCATTCAGACGCTGTGTAGCTACAAGCAAGTCACTTCATCTCGCTGTGCCACAGCTTCCTTTCTGTAAAAGGAGCACCTTTGCCTACTTCACAAGAGGAAGGAGAGGCTCAGTTAACAAATGGTTTTGAATTCCTCAGCCACAAGTATGAATTATTATCCTAGTCATTTAAATGTACACACAGTTTAGTACTGGTGATAACCCTAGAGACTCAGTTTATTCCCAAAGCAAGTACAGCATGGCAGCAATAGTGTCCTCAGCCAAACAACAATACGCCTCACCCCAGACCCAAAAGGGGCTCACCATTATAAGGGAGAGTCAAGTCCATTCTTAGGCTGATCATTTCAGGAGACTGAATTGTCTCTGAACAAATCTGAATAATTTGACAGTTCAGAGAAATGTTTTAATTAGGTGTATCTACATCATAAAACAGCCTTTACAGTACTAAACAGGCAATACTAATTACCAGCATTACTGATGACCTTTTAAACTGGAATGGTCTAGGCTTCCCACATAGGTTTCAGAAGAGGGTAGCAGCAAACCAAAAGGAAGATAAATTAGGAATTTTAGTCTAGAACTGGTCAGAAAATGAGGTGGGGGGAGAATAAAAATTTAGAAGCAAAAATTGTTTTGTTTTCGGTGGGAAAAGCAACTCCGTCAAAGTGAAAAATTTCAGCCTGAAACTTTTTGGATTGGGGATTTTCCATTTTTCAACAAAATATCAACATGCTGAGAAAAGCAGACACATTTCATGAACAAGTCTAATCCATCAAAAACTCCAATAATCTGTTGTAGGGGACAGGGGGGAGGGTTTCCAACCAGCCATATTTAAAATATACCATTTGAATCATTTTGTCGTCTTGCTCTCAAGACTAAATTGAAGCTGAAGTGCTTTCAGGGACTAACATGAAATTAGAAAGAAGAAGCAGGTCCCCTCCCTGAGCTCTTGGAGAACTCATGATCTCCAGAGTCACCTGCCCTCTCTCGCTGTGTCTAGATTACATCCCTCTACTGACAGAGGGATGTAATCTAGACGTAGCCAGTGTGATGTGCCTTTCACATCCTGTGCCTTGGATCCTCTTCCTGTTCCCACAGACTTCACTGAGAGAAGGGTCAGCACCATTCTCCATGGGTATATCTATACCACCATTGAGCTCTAGATGACACCTGAGCTAGCTATGATTTTGCCAACTCAGTGATTTTGCTAGTGAAGCAGTGACACTGCCCCACTACAGCCTTCAGCACATGCTGTACAAACACAGCTTACTACACCCACATCTCTACTCATGGGCTTGGCACTAAAGCATAAGCTGCCCAAGTTTCACTCCTCTGGGACTCAAACTAGCTAGATTAAACCTGGCTCAGATATGCCTACCTGAGCTGCAATCACAGGGTGGGACTGCACTCTGAAAAGACATCCCTGTATATGAGGAAGGGTGTGAGAGAGCGAGAGAGAGAGCGAGAGAGACTATATGTGGAATGGTGTGAGAGAGCGAGAGAGAGAGAGAAACAAGATGTCCTGTATTTGATTGACAAATGATTGGCAAAGGTAGCTTGAATAAACCTTGAGACAACTGAAATGCAAGCAGCAGCCAAGTAATTCATGTGGGATTCTCTGGCTACACGTGGTCTGTTGGTTTCAAATGGTGTCAACAATCCACAAACCTTCTCCCCACTTTCCACCCTTCCCCTCTCATTGTATAATGCATACAGCAGCCAGTAGAGGCCTCCATAGACCATACAGCAACATATCACTGATAAAGGATACACTGAACATGGCTCTTCTCTCGTCCCACTGACCTAGATCAGGAGTTACTCCCTGGAAGTCAGTGGTGTTACAGTGGCAGAAAACCAGTACGAGTGGAAGAGGAATCAGGCTCTTTCCTGCAAAATTTATGAGGGGGACGTGGCAAGTCAGTGATTAGTCCTAAACTGATAAGCATTCTCTGTACAATATACAGCAAATTAGAATGCCTTGCCACTGCTCAGAAGTGCAACACCATATCGCCCATGGCAACAGGTATAATAGGCCAGGGGAGGCCTAAACCTACAATGTGGGCCTGCTCACAATCTGCCCGAACGCCCCACCCTTGGTCCTCCTGTCTCCCCAAAGCCAGAAGGGACTCAGGTGCCGCCAGTGCTTCCAGCTGGCAAGCAGCTACAGGCAGCCAGGTGGTAGCCCAGAGGCTGGAACAGATGGTGCAGCTGAGGAGGGCTGGCCAGCAGCCCAGTTCTAGAGAACTGGGGAAGTCAGCCAGCAGCCCAGAGCAGGCAGGCTGGTGCATCTGGTGCTTGACTGGAGCTCCTCCAGCTATTGTGAGATTTGGGGCATGTTCAGGGCTCTTGCTGGCAGGGGGCTAGTCTCCCTGAAGAGTGGGTTCACACACTGCCTTTCATGTTATCTTAAAGGGTGGGCATTGAACGACAGACACGCTCTCCCAAGCAAAGAGGCCATGGGTGAAGTTAAGTAGCTGCTGTTCAGCAAGCAGCTAGACCTCTGCAGTACCCCGCCCCCAGCTCTCCCCATGCATGCATTTGGGCCTGGTTAGCTCAACCTAGCTGTAGCATTCACTGGTATGAAAAACACACCGGCTGAGACACATTATTGACTAGACTTGTCTACCCTGAAGGTTAGGCTGCCTAAAGAAAAAACAAACTCTTCTAGCAATCTAGTTACTGCTGCTTGTGACTTAACTACAGCAACAGGAAATTCAGCCCTGCAGTCACTGTAGAAACCACCTCCGGTGTGGCACTGCAGCCATGTAGCTGTGCCCCAGTAGCTCTGACAGAACAAATGTGGCTTTACTTTGCTACCTACAAGAAGGTTCACCTGGCCTTACACCAGTGTGTTTTCCCACAATGGGGGGAGGAGTGTGAAGTATTAATAATTGTTTTAAGCTAACAAATATTATCCTCCTTTCAGTCCAGATGTCTGTGCCTCCCCCTCTGAGGCAATTGCTGTATGTCCCATGCTCCGCAGGGTAGATATTAAGGAAGGAAATAAACCCTGAGACAGGCCCTGCCCAGTATACTTGGGTTTTAATCTGTACATGCACATACTTTGGAGATGGAAAAGGCTTCTATTGCTAGGATCTCTCACCATTCCACAGAATCCCACTCTTGGTCAATGTAGCACTGGCTCCTACAGTAAAATCTCCATTTTAAATGATTCGTGTAACAGGGCAGGAAAACCACCCATATCAACCTCCTCCCATGTTCAGACAGGCCTCTTCTCCAGCTCTCCCTCATTCACACAGTGACCACTCTGTGGTAGTGGAACCTTCTAACTGGAGATGGGTGTCAAAACTAAATCCCTCATCTGAGCTCCCTAATAAAATGTGGAGGAAATTCAGCCCCAGATCAACATGTAAGAGCTGGTTTGAGCTCTATCACAGGCTGAACTAAAACATTGGGACTGAATTTCACAAAGGCTGAGAAAGTTTAGATCCAAAACCAAACTTTGTGGCTCAGGCCCACCGCTCACTTTAGCCAACACAGCACATGGTTATTGAAGACTCCTCCAATCAGAGCTGTAATTAGGTATTTTTGCACCTGGGGCAAAATATTAATTATGCACCCCCCCCTCCTTAGGTTAGCACACGTCACGCTCTTTACTTGTGCAGCTTATTATTTTTACTTATTACGTCTCTGTGCCCTAATTATGATGTGCCCAGAGCCAGCGCCCTGCCCTTGCTATGGCCCTGCCTCTAATCCTCTCTGCTCCTGAGCCTGGGTTTGTAGGTGCATCTCAGGAGCTTGGTCCCTCTCTATTTTGTCCCCTCTGCCACCTCATTCCTGAGTTAAATGAGAACTGGATTCACCATGAACAATACGGGAAAAGGACAGTCCCTCTCTATTTTGTCCTTTCTGCCACCTCATTCCTGAGTTATATGAGAACTGGATTCACCATGAACAATACGGGAAAAGGACCCAAGAGCACATCCAAACAAACAAACAGCTGAGCAGCTTATCTCCCCAGCAAACCTTGAACTGAGAGATACGCAAGACGTATGAGCAGCAGCTCTCCTGCAAGGACACTGGCATGTTTGCTTAACACTGACCTCCTTCACTAACAAGAAATCTGCAATAGTGCAGCGAGTGGCAGGTCAATGGCATTGACAAGGGATAGCTTCATCCCTCAAGAGAGCACTTCAGGGGCTGTGGAACTAGTGTGTGGGGAGCAACTTCCCTGCAGCTAAACCATTGCCCAGGCTTGGAGAAAGAGAGTATCAGGGCTCAGTGGACAGCAGAGCATCCCCTAATTTTCAACCTCTGAGAATAGTATAAGGGAGGTGGTTTGTGGACATCTCCATCTTCAACACTCAGACCAATTCTAGAAATAAAATGCAGTGTTCTCCAAGCTACTGAGCGCTCATTCCCTAAACCTACGAGACAACCAGAGAGCTGGGGTAAAAGCCATAAAATGCCCTGCATGTATCAATGATGCCAAGAGCCTCTCTCTGGCTGTCAAGCGGTTAGTGCCCCATCTTGCCCAATTGGAGACCTTGATAACCCCTAGCCTTTGCTTTGCTGTGTAGGCAAGAGATGAGAGGGAAACGAGTTTCCCACTGATCCCTCCCCCCATTACTTCCCAAGAACAGTGTCATGTTCTGCTGCTGCAGCCCTGTGGTACAGAATGGATGCAGCACTCACACTGCCTCAGTACGTGCTGGAAGAAGGAGGGTCATTTCCCTCCTCCCCCCAACCTGCAATAAATCCTGACTACTTTAGATTCCTCAAGCAAGGGCAAGGGACCAGTCTGTCCAACTTAGGGACTGTACCACAAGCATTTGGGAAAGGTGGCAAGGTGAGGCAGATGACAGCAAAATGAAGAGTGGGGAGTAATCAAAGTGCAATCAACCGAAGGCTGAACTGACAAGAAATTACTTAATGGCATTGCAGCAGCTCTCGACCGGAAGCCCAACTCAGCAGCACTTCCTGGATACCAAACCCAGGTACTTTGACCACTATTACAGCAGTCTGGGGCAATTCCATGCCTTCTATGGGCTTGTTCACTGGTTCTGTTGCAGTGCTCACACTTACACTTCATCTGTAAGAGGCAAGAAAGAGCACAGTGCCAACCCAAACACTAGCTATGCTCTCTTTAGGCACAGGGTGCTTCCTGCAAACACAAATCTATCACAGAGCATTAAACCTAGTGCTGCCAAGAGACTCTGCCAAGGCTGGTATGCAGTGTTCCCCCTAAATTTTTCCATACATGTACAGAATAAATTTTATGTGCACCAAGGCATACACAGATGTGCACCACCAGTAGAAACACATGCTGCTGGCTGTGGGCACTCTGAGTATGTCTAGACTACATGACTC